CTTGTGACACCTGCTTTTCTCCCCACCACTCTCTGTTCCGATAATTTTCTTTTGGTGTCTCAGGGAATTTGAATGTTACTTTACCATTTGTTTAGTTTGAGAAAACTGCCCTTCATTTCTCTCTTCAATTTATTTTTCATTTAAATAAAGAGTATATTTAATTTGACAAAAAATTTAGCGAGGATGAATGAATCTTTTAATAAATTAAAATTATAATACTTTTAAATATTAAAATTTTAAATTTAGTTGATAAAAAATTCATCCCTCCTATTTTTTTTTTTTTCATTTTTTCAAACTAAATATATTCTAAGAATTTGAGAATTACAATTTCATTCATCTATATATATATATTGGTTAATAACTATACAACTATAAATTATCTTTTTCCTTCGAAATTTCTCGCCACTACTTTAAAAATATGAATTCAAAACCGATAATAGATTGAGTGCTTAGTCAATGAGACATTTGTCTATAGATATATTACAATTATTTATGCAAATCACACTTACTAGAAATTTTCTCATTTTAGAAGGAAACACTAGATACGGAAAATTAAATTGTTTTTGCATTTAATTTCTTTTATTATTTAGGAGTGATTGATTGTATTTACAGATGAATGAAGACATTTTTTTCTTTCTCTTTTTCGTAATTAAGAAATGGAAGGATGGATTCAAACCAATTATTGAATGATGAGAAATTTGAGAATCATACACTTTTTCCGTTAGACTGTGTCTTCTTCTACTCTCCTCTTAGCATTATTTTCTTTTTTGAAAAAAAAAAAAGCGCCTAGAAACTTGTTCAAATTACCTCTTTAAATATTCGATTATGAGCAAAGAATTCAGTATAGAAAAGGTGTTTTCAGCCTGCAAACTGGGAACAAATATTGCACTGGGCTGAACCCATATTTTGAGTATATGAGGCAAAAGAAAAGCATTTGTTTAAAATGAAAATTCTTTTCTCATAAATTTAAAATTTTATTAAAAAGAGATTTAAAATTTAATTTTTAAATATATTTTTAAATAAATCTACAAAAATTTAGATATATAATTTTTTAAAAAGTGAACTTTCTAAATTAAAATAAAATAAAGCAATAATTAATAGATTAAAAATTAAATTTAATCGTGACCGAAGCAAAAATGGTAAGTTGGAGGAGACGGGCATCGACATTGCCGTTTCCCGTTTGTTCTTTAGGTGAAGAAAACGGCGTAATACAGTCGGATTTCACGT